ATCGCTCTTCGCCGCATTGCGGTAGCTTTCTTTGACAACTCTAATGCGGCGCTGGAATGCTACTCTCGACACCGATGCAACAATACTGTCTTAGTGGCCTGATGTTGCGATTGCTTGCCCGCTCAGCTGTTCGCACCAGCATCCCCTCTTACTCCTCAGCACGCGCTGTGTAAAGACAATTCACGACGCCTTTCAAAAATCAACAGCTTACCTGTACGGAGGCAGCTGTAGCGGGATACACGCGGCGGGATGCCATTTCATTGCTGCTTGGGGCAGGTTGCTGACACGCAACCTGCGACGGGATGGCGACACTCGAAAGAGGCGGCGAGCTATCAGAAGTAACACTATTAGCCCGGGATCGCTGCTGATGTGCCATTGCCGCCGCTGCTGCTGCTGCTGCCGACTGTGATATGCCAATGGGACTCGCTGATGCATTTGCTTTTGGCGCCTCCTGAAAACCATCACCGTAAGATGCTGGACCAATATGGCTTCTCCAGATATGCTGCAAATGCACTGCCAGAGAACGCAAGAATCTCGAATCTTTCCAAAAACAGCTCCTTTCCTCCTTTGTTCGCTTCCTTTGCATGCTCTTGCTTGCACAAATCGCATATTACAAAAAAACAGGCCAGGAGAAATCAATTATTTTTATAAACTTCATATCAATTGTGTGGGCGGAGGCGACGAAAAGGACATACTCTTTTCCTCAATTTTATTATCTTTTTGCATCAGGACTATTTGTTCGGAAAAGTTAATGCGAAATGTGAGTTATCAGGAATGAAATTCAGGTTGGTCGGGAGAAAGCAAGGAAGGCGTGAGTAAAAGTCAGCCAAAGAAGCCCAAAAGTTCTAACGTAATATTTAGCTAAACATAAAATTCCACCCGATCAGGAGAAATTACTGCGCTGAAAAGTGCACAGACCTATAGCAACGTAAAATTTTGTACAAAAAAAAAAAATAAAAATAAAAAAACGACACATTTAAAGAAACGAGGCGCAAAAATGGGAACAGGTTCAGACAATGTGTAAAATGTAAAAACTCGCACAGCAACTGCATGCTGTTCACAGAAGCTGTACAGCACTTATCATCTCTCGTCTTACTTGTATCTGGTGCTTCATAAGCTGTCAATCCAGAGTCCTTTCAGGAGAAATGTTCATTTCGAGAGGAGGGCGACATGAAAGAATGTGCATCATGTTTTGATATATTTAAGACTGAGGATTTGCAAAGGAAATGGCCTGAACGAACACGCATGTCTAGCAATATGTTAATTTGATGTACTACATTGCTGAATGAGTAGATGTGCAAGAATGAGGGGATCAAACAACACAGCGCATTACCATATTACAGATGTTTGCAGCGTCCTTTAAACACATCAGCAAATTTGAAATTCAAAATTTGCATCTAACTCCACGTTTAAGTACTTGTTCATTTCTTGCAGAACACAGTCAGAGCATGCTGGTCAAACTACAAGAACCGCTGTGCGCTTTCGCACTATAATAATGAACTTTCAAATTCATCCAAACTAAGAGTTCAGCTCCAAAAAGTAATCTTTGACGATTGAAATGTTTCTATTCCCCGCACTGCCAAATTGGCTTTCCGATTTAGCACTGATTCTAAATCACAACATGGGTCCCGAAAATCGCCGAAGAAATGTGTCTCTTGCAAACGGTGAGAATTCGTGCAGAATCGATAACAGTGACACAGGGGGCCATTCCTGCATAATATCACATGGGGATCTCAAAAATCTGCTCACCTCAAAATCTCATACAGCAAAGCTTGCAGCAACAACGCGAGGAGACGAAACCCCATGTGTGGGCAATGTCGACAACCGACAGACGCCGTCTATTAACAAGCGGTACTTGCAAAAGAAGTGAGATGGAATTTGAAGGGAGAGTGCACATGTGCAGATTAGATGACAAATAACGACTAGAATCTTGCAGAAATAAAAACTAGCATAAGTTGCGCATGTAGATTCACCCCGGTAACATTACTAATAACGAATTTCAACTACAGTCTTGAAAATGATATTACACCGTGGAAGAGTGAAATTACCAATTTTAGAGCTTTGCTTGTGGAAGCTTGCTCGTTGAGATGCTCTGCTGCCGCAAGAAGGCGCCTTTTCAGTGGGTGACGATTTTCGTGTAGAGATGGTGATGAAGCAACACTGGGAGTGCCGACACTTGCCTTGCGAGCAACATTTTCACCCGTTCCACTGCTGGTTGTTGAGCTCTGATGCACCGCTTGTAATGGTGCTGCTGCTTGCGGATGCAGCTCCGCACGTCTGCAAATAAACTCCTAAAAGGTCTAATCCTGAATTTGATAAAATCTCTGAAACTACTTTTCCAGCTTTTCTAGAATTCATCTGCTTGCGCATGATGTTCTGGTGAAGTGATGCATTATTTTGAAATTCCAAAATTTCCACATACGGATGATCGAGCTTTAGGCGTAAATGAAAGCTGTATCTCAGACTGTTTAGTTGAAAATGGGCAGAAAACACCGTTCTAGAATTTCTAGCTTTTTCAATTATTCAACTGAAAACCAGAAATATATAATCGAACACACACACACAAGCAATGAGTGGAAATACGCATTTTGCATTGCTTCTTCAACGCAAAACGCCTAAAAATAAGAAACGCTGCAATGATTTGCCTTGCTGCTACATACAGTTACTGTTCGACCTGAACATCTTAGCGAAAATGCATGATAGTACGATGTTTAGGTGGGCGCCGTTACGCAGCTTCCGATTGATTAGTTGACCGTTGTCAAAACAAGCGACTGCCGAGGAGTACGGTAACACCATTTACGCCAATGCAAAACTGCAGAGGCTTCCCAACGAGTCTGTCACCGTTTTCTCCTCCCTTCTCATTCGCTGTTTTTTGTTTTTTTTTTTTTTTTATTCATGTGGAACTACACCTATTGAGCTCGCTAAACCATACTGAGCACGTTAAATAGCATTTTCGCCAACAGTGCAAAAATTACAGCAGGCGAGCTTGTTGTGATCGCAGTAGCCCAATAGAGATAGGGGCTGTACTGAAATTGATGGCTCGAATTCTCTACTGGGCAAAGTCTGTCCAAACAAAAGCCTTGCAAGCAATTCATTGTGGTACAATATCGCTCGAACTCTTTCCTCATGTATTCATCTCGCACGAAGACTGCAGTGTAGAGACAGCAATGATTTATGCCTGATTAGTAAAATCGCTCGTATCGCCCGTATTCCTGGTATTAAAAGAACGCTTCCACAGAATAAGTGTAGCAACTGGGTCTGCTCTGTGCTACAGTTTTTCAGTATTTTCGTAACAAAACAAAAAACGCTGCAGAACCGTATCGAATGTGGAACTGTTTAATGACCTTGAACTGATCAGCAGTTTCCAATTTGCGACTGCTGAATGATTTTGTATTGGTTGGCAGCGGCCAATTTAAAATTGACAAATTTGGCGTCTCGTCTACCCAGTATGTCGGAAAAATGCAAAGCCATTGTTATTTTAAGTTTAATAGGTACGAGGACTGAATTTAGCGACAGCAATCCGTGAATCAGCTTAACAAATGGTTAGAAAAACTGAGACACACTTGCTGCATCGTATTTCGTGTGCATCCAGGGCTGCTTCGTTTGCGAATTTCAACTGACAATAATTGCATACAGAGCACTTCTCTGGCGCTTTCACGATCGGCTGTCCATTTGTCAGTGAACCTCCGCTACCACTGGTGGCTCGGACAGCGGCCAGTGGAGTTTGCGACTCGCAAAATGTCTGACTTCGGGTACACTGTAAGCGTACATCACGCACTCCTAAATTAGAACATAAGAAATTATAAGCTGTCATGTTTCACATCCGAAAATACTCAAAGTTATAGCCAAGTTTATGTTGCATCTCTGATAACGCTCGCATGTCTGTAGAAGGAACTCGCAGTGGCGAGCATATTTGCATGAGAATACTTCCGAAGGCGCTCACAAACAGTCATTGACCTTTGCCCCCCTCCCCCCTGGCAAGTTAGGTAGTAGTTGTTTTACTGCTCGGTACCCCCTGTCGCCTCCCCTCCCGCAGGAACAAGGGGAAGGGGAGGGGGAGGGGGAGCGGCAGGAGGTACCAAGCAGTAAAACAACTAGTGTCCATTGGTCAGAGCGGAAGGCGGGAGGGAGAGGTAACACAACGGTTGTTTAAAGGATGGGCTGGAAGCTGCCGGAGAGGAGAAGGGTAGTGGCGAAGGGAGAAGGGAAGGTGAAAATTCGCCACCCCCCCCCCCTCCTCCCCCTCCCAGGAGACTACCCTGGGTCCGCCTATGGTTTCGAACAGTGGTGCAATGGGGCACTGACTTTATCGGATTTACCTGGTGAATTGCTTTCACTCCTCAGACCTGGTTCTAATTCGACAGATGACTGCGATCCAACTTGTCGATGATAAGGGCGCCGTTTGAGAAGACCCGGATTCTGTTCCAAAATAGCCTCGTTTTCACTGATCAACCGCGAGATGTGTTCTTTCACAGACTCCGGACTGGTAAGCAGGCCAACATTTCTACTATCAGGAATTAATGGCTCCGATACACCTTAAAATTGAGCAAATAACCATCGGTCATCAAATGCAGCTCTAGCGTAAGCGCAGGGTAAATTACAACTATTCGCTCATGGATTTCATCCTGCAAAACAAAAGAATGAATGCGCTGGCAACTACTGTTGAACGAACCAATCTTGTCGTGAGCAACCGCTGCCGAACTGCGAGTCGCCTGCTCCACCAACAAGTTTTCAAACATTTTTTGCTGTTGCGCTGCTGTCGCAATCCCATTCTGCACTGAAACCATGCAAATGCCTCAAGACGAAAATGCATTACGTTCAAGTGGTCATGCACTCCATGTGCAAAATGTGCTTTCACGCACGATACGTCATGTAAAAAAATTTCGCTGAATCACCGGAACCACTAACGTGATCAGCGTGGAGTCTTCGATGCTACTGAGATACTAAAGCCGCGCTCCCCGCGCAGCTATGTTCAGCCCTTCTGTTCTGAGCTATTTCTGTCTAACTTATTACCAGTACATCTAACTACATATTAGCTCAGGCGTCGTTCGAACTCAGAGATGTCTCTCGTTTTTGTGATGCCAAAGCAGAAATTTTTTATAAAATTCAGAATATTGAAATATGAACAAGGACTAGTAATTTAGCGAATTACCTTGAACATGCGGTTGCTGTACGTGATTCGTGGCGCCTGCCAGCTGGGACTGCTGAATCAAAGCCGCCAAATGATGGTAATATGCGAGAGGATTAAGCAGTTGCGCCAGCGCTGCCTGCACCTAAATTTTAATGCCAGATTTATTGACTGATACAATCTGATTATTCCCATAAAACACCAAAAATGTCGGAAAAGATCAAAAAATGTTCTAAGAATTAAACAGTGTTCTATTTATCAAGATCACTAATAGCGGTGAGAGTCAAAAATTCGATATTACTCAGATTCATCAACATATCAAAACAGCAATTCCAGGCCCTTTTATTTTCAGTCTTATACTTCACTGTGCTTACTTAGTAAATACATTATCTCTTCAAACGCTATTCGCATCTTTTCCGCACTGTCCCTAATAAGCAAAATGACTCAGTGGTGCGACGTCGCCTTGAGACATGGCCTTTGAATCGAAGTTCGAATTATTACTCGAGGAAATTCGTGACTTCCTACAGTCTTTCGTATTCATACTTGTGCATCAGAAAGTGAAGAATCTATCCTCTTTAAATTTTAATGTGTATTAATCTGAAATTGCAGCCCCAACACCACCAGGCTGATATTAAAACTGCAAGATTAGGCGGGTTGCAACTTTGAATTACTCAGTTTTATTTCAAATACAAGTAATCTCGCATGAACTTTCAAGTCTCAATATTCTTGCCTTTAACTTAACCCCCGCACTAAAACGCTTTTGAGTCATAGAAACGAAGAGGAAGTCATAGAAACGAAGAAAGATTTAGAAAAATTACAATTATCAGGACAGTCAAATGATCATCATCAAGACTAAGAACAAGTACCCTTCGTACGCGCTGAGACAATTATCGACTTTCCAGTTACAGCTGTTGCAAAACACAATTGCATTTCACTAATGTCCGGTCAAGGAACTGTATGAAGAAGCAGATGCTGCGATGAAATTGCAGGTGAGCAGCAAAATTTCATTCCATCGTACGCTCACGCAACAGCTCTGTTAGTCTCAGACATTCTGTGACAAATGAATTCCGGCCGGTGTTCACTGGGTGAGGTGACGGTTTACCAGTGGACAATCCAGCGGCTGTTCCTAGTCATAGCAATACAAAAAAAAAAAATACTTCCTATAATTTTTATGAAAATTATTGATGGTTAAAGCGATCGCTGTCTTTCCGAATTTCCAATTTTGACACTTTATGAAAAAAAAATAACTGGTTTCACACAACAGCTGTCCCTTCCTGCCTTCCCTTCTTTTGACTGCGGAAAAAAAGCACTGCAGTAGTGCAATAATTACCTGTTGCTGCAGTGGGTTGTGCAGTAGCAGCTGCAGCTGATTGAGTGTGAGCTGTCCTTGTGCTGCAGCAAGTGCATTCGCCAAGGCAATGGCTTGATTCTGCTGCTGCGCTTGCTGCGACGCTACTGCAGCCTGAGGTAATATTGGCGTCGCTGCCGCAGCCGCGGCAGGTGTAGCTTGTGACACCGCAGCAGCTGCACCCTGCAACAATTGCGACTGCGCTGCAGCAGTACCAGCTGATAAGAGTTGATGATAAAGAAGATGTGCTGGTACAGGGCTTGTTGAAATATGACCGGCGGCCGCCGCCGCCGCCATTGCTGCAGGCGCACTCAGTGGCGCCACACCGCGAGGGGATATCGTTTGCGCATCCTGAAATTCCGTCATTCAGTGGTAAGCCGTCCATTTGAAATTAATATCGAATATGAAATCGTCCCAAGTAGTCCGGTGGTAATTGTGTATGCAGCAAAAGTCGTCTCAGTTTTGTCACTGCCGCGGAAAACCCGCGAAAAGCCAGCCAAGCGCGAGCCGCCACCACAAAGAATAAAAAGAAAGCAAAGGTGAATTTTGCCTTTAAAAGCAGATACCCAGTAAATGTGCTCTCAGGTTGATTCTGCAGCGCAAAGACCACTAGCATAATGGGAGTATATCCCGTCCGAATATGAAAAGGTATGGTTCGTTTCCTTCCAGATCCGTAAGAATTTTTGAAAAGGATCTCCATTCACGACAATCACTGCGCTGGTCACCCGCTTCACTTGTCAAAATGTAGCAGTTTTTTTTTTTACACTTTAGCGCTGAATCCCGTTATTACGGAATTATCTGCTATTCTTTATATTCTCTTGGTACTGCCTAGCACTGACCAAATTTTGTGCTCTCCCCGACAAATCCTTCCAATCCCTGATTAATTTCCCCGCTGCTGCAAGTAAATTTTGCAGATAGTAGCTAATATCAACACTGCTGGGGGGGGGGGGGGGGGGGGGGGGGGGGGGGGGA